GGTGCTAAATAATTTAAAATAATTTATTTTAAATAAAATTCCATGCCGATCGTGCAGCTCATCCATCAATCAGCCAATTGTGTGTCATGTCCAATCTTATTTTGAAAAACCGCAATAAGAGCGAGTCCACGATAAACGAACCGCGAAGTAGCGAGGGATTACTGTATATAAATTTCATACAAATAAACTCACCTTTTCTTTTAAAACAAGCAAAATGTTTTTACTTAACAAGTTGAAATACGTTAAATAGAATAAGAGAGCAGTAGCAAGATGTTTTCATTTCATTCATTTATTGCATTTTTAATTGGCTTTTTTATCACACTTAAATCATTTCTATTATTTTGTTATTTAAGACTCTTGTCTGTGTCCAAGAAGCGGCATCCAATTTTGTTTTTACTGTTAAAAATAAATGATGAGTAAATTAGTGAATAGAAATGTTAATGAAGTCCCATATGTGCTACATTCTATAAGTTGAATTTAAAGCCAAAACTTTCATTTTGTCTGGAGGTAAAGTTTGAAAATGTCTCTTTTGCATGTTTCATCACGCTATTTATTACTCTGTTATTTTTCCATCAAAATCATTGCAACAATATGTTTCTATCGAAGGAATCTGTCTCCTATAAATGTGAAACATTGTATCTGTTTGTTCTTCAACAGGTTTTAATTCAGGCAGCTTCCTTGAGCAGCATGTTGAGGGGTTTGGTTCCTGGACGTCTGGTTTAGCTTTGTCTCCTGGAGAAATGTCAAAGCAGGAATACCTTACGGCTTTATCCGCCCAGTATCAAGTGGAGCGTTACGAAGACTGTTACAACCTGACGGGTTAGTGAAAAAGGCAACATTGTTCCGAGCTCGGTGGTTCCTTACTTGTTTTATGTGAACAATGAACTGTTTAAGCTAAAAACAGTTTTGTACATAAAACTGAGCAATCAGCTCTGATTCTACACAGCTGATGTAAAGATCTAATAATAAGTAACTTTAAATTAAACCCACCCTTTTGCTCTTGTTGTTCCTTAGGCAAAAACATTTGTTCAAATTAAATCATACAATATTACAAGAACATTGAAAATGAAACACATTAAGATGGAAACATTTCAAATTGATGACTGTCTAGTTCTCAGTGTACTAAACAGTACTATGTATGTCAGTTATATACAGTGTACTGTATATAAATGATATACTAACACAACTTCAAACACAGTGGCTAAACAGGAACAGTTCAACTTTTGTTACTAATTGTTTCAAATCAGCTTGACCTTTGTGCTAAAATAGCTCACTGTCCAGGTTGTGCTTTTTTTTAATTTTTATTATTTTTAATTTTTATTACTTTTAGCAGAGCAATGAAATTACACATCAAACACTCATATATCCAGAACCCAACTCTGGTCAGTGCTGGAGTTCATAAATATATTCTAATACATTCACAGAACAAAATTTGAAAAACGTATTTAAATAGAGTTTTAAGTGCTTGTTTATGTTTTTGATTCCTCGTTATAAATGCAGCTGGATAACCAAAGCCAGGATTTAACTAATGCTTAGAGGTGCTCATTGCAGTGTCCTGACAACTGGGTGATTAAAAAGTAAAAAAATTCACAAAACTGACCTGTTTTTTTATTGAAAGGTAACGTGTCCTTTAGACAGATTCAGCCAAGTGCTCTGTTTACTCTGAGTAATCGGATATCAATATATCTACTGGTAAACGCTTTCAAAATGCACCATCTGATATAGTTTATGATAAACATATTGTTTTTTTCTATGTTTTATTTCTGCAGTTTACAATGAGTACTTTTAATTTAGAATGCTTGCCATTTTATTACATTAATGGTATGTATTTGTTTAAAAAAATGAAACAATCTTACAACGACTCTAAAACGACCCTTTTGAGACAATATATGTTTACAAGACTGAACATATTGAACGTTATATTAGGCTTATTTCTGTAACATGTGTTTTATTAGCCTCTTTCCAAGGGTTCTGTTTCCATTTGTACTTAAAAAAAAATCTAAATTAAAACAAGCAGATTTACATATTCAGAAGTGTTTCATGTTCACACCTCCATATTTACTCCACCTGAATGAATAGCAGTAATAACTGACAAAATGCAGAATTGTGTTTGGGGGCAGAGGATTATTATGGCTCATTAAATCATATAATCTTTTTCACTCACTGTTTTGTAGTTCATCCATGCAGCCAGTAGTCATGCATCAATCAGCATCCAACTCAACCAAATAAATCTTCCACACCACTGATTTAGGTCAGAAACAGGATCATTTAGCCTGTTTTTATTGATTGACTAAACAATTAGGACAAATTACCACAGGGTCATTACTGATCTAACCATTCAAATTAAAATACTATGCATTGCTTATATTTGTTGGCTTTAAGCCCTTAGATTTAGGATCATAACTTACAAGAGTTTATTATAGCAGATGGATGTCTTGTTTTGATTGACAGTGTTGGACTGTGCCGTAGATGTTATGTAAAGCCTGCAGTTGTGTGAGTGACGTTTCCACACCAAGGTGCCTGACTGTCATCTTCCTCTCGCACAGCGTCGTCACCTGAGTGTCAGCTGCTGAAGCAGGTAACTCGAGGACCCTGGGGTCTTCCCATGGACCCCACACTCCATAGAGCAACAGACACCACAGTTGTCCAGCTCAGTGAGATGGTTTCCCTGCCTGTGCTGATAAAACACTCTGTCACCGCCCCGCTCATCACACAGTGAGTGCCTGCTGCTGTATGAGGAGACACTTTTTGTTAGAGCAGAGCAACATTTTTTCTAAGCACATTACTGTACCCATCTCCAGTTATTTTCTTTCACTATCCACCACTTAAATTGTAGTTGAGTGCATATTCTGCAGTGCTGGAATTTTTCTTTCAAGTTAATTATTTTTGGAAATCCTTTTATTTTTCATAATTCCATTAAACTACCTGACAGGCTTGTTTCTTCCTTTGATTTTTAGCACAGCATGTAGTTTGAATCTATATGTTGTGGAAAAAGTTTTTTTTTTCTTTTTTTTGCACATGTAGGATTTTTGGGATTATGTATTTCTAAGATGAGCTTTTTCTCATCAGATCCAGGTGACAACACTTTTGCTCTGCCATTTTCCTTTCTGCTCTGTCTTTGTTCCCAGTGTGTCTTTGGTGAACAAGGCTGTGGTGGACTACTTCTTCGTGGAGTTAGAGGTGGAAAAACATTTTCAGGTTCTGCGTCACTTCCTGCTGATGGAGGACGGCGAGTTTGCACAGTCCCTCAGCGATCTGATCTTTGAGAAGGTGATGGTCTTAGATTTTCCAGACCTTTTAGTGATTATTGCAGCCTAAAATGACTGATTTTCAAACTTCTGATAAGGTTGAGACCAAAGATACTAACTTTTGAGGTTATCATTTTACAAATTTTTATTTAAATTTCAAATGATTAAAAATAGCTTCTAATAACATTCAACTAATGTACAGGATTTTTACAGTAAACAAACAAAACAATTGGCGTCAACAAAATAGTTCAAGTGTTCTTAATATAACATTTTTGACATAAATAAAAATATTTAAATGAAAGGTAGAAAAATTACCTTGAAATGGTGAAAACTTGGTAAAAGCCTGAGTGACTCCTCTTTTCAGAGTCAGAGTCAGAGTTTCTTTATTGTCATTCGCACCTCATGTGGTACATGTGGTGGAGCGAAATTATGTACACGGGGTCCCAGTTACATCCAACAATAAAATGTCTAAGAAAAACAGTAATAACATCTAGGATATGAACTAAGAAAAACATCAACTAAATATACACTAAGCACTCATAACATAAAACATTGAACATCAGCACAAACATGAACATGAGTCTGTGAGCAGATGTGCAC